AGGGGAGGGAGGGAGAGGAGGGGGAGAGAGAGATGAGAGGTATAGGGATGGGGAACGACGGGGTGAGAGTGCGATGTGTGGGACGAGCAATCAACAACCCTTCGACACTGCTGCGAGTCGTGTGCGAAGGGCTTAGCCACCCCTCCATCCCCTCTCCCCTTTGCCGCGCCCTTCGCCCCGAGCTCACCCCTGCACACCCCTTCTATTGTACCGCCACAACTACTACACGGTCGCGCCGCGGTTCGCAGCAGTTCGCGGTCGCGGTCGTGGCCGGAGTATGTGGTGTGGTTGCGCCACGCCGGGTGAATACACGTTCAAAAAGTTCATGTTAAATTCAGTTATCACCCCTCTTTTAAGTGGTCGATCTCTTCTTTACCTTCAGAGACTAATTGCTTATTTCGAACGTAGAAATAAAAGTCTCGGAAGATTGCCGTTCATTTGCAATAACTGACCGTTATTTGTTGCTGTTTCCGAGTCGTGAGCTCACGCCAGCGACACAGGGCGCGCCGCTCCAACAAGTAGTATAGTCCCGCGCGGCGGAACCTCACCACACCGCGGCGCTCGTGACAGCTGCCGGGGTGTCTAACCAGATTCAAACAGCTGCGCGGCGGCTGTCCTCGCCCGCTGGCAGCCAGGGCGAGCTGGCAGCCCGAGAGAGCTGGCAGCCGCTCTGCTGCTGCGGGGGCTATATGGCCTGCGCCCTTATACTGCGTCGCTGTGCCAGCTCGGCGGGGTAGCTGTGGGGCGCGCTGCTGTGTGACCGAGTCACCGTGTTAGCGAGCCCGCCCCCCGGGGGGCTGGGCTGGACTGGACTCGGACTACTATGGAGCATGGAGCCAAGACCACCACCACCCACGGCAGCAGCAGCAGTTTATCCGAGTGTTTTCTTTGCACTCAGAGCGAGCGAGTGTGTGCGAGAGTGAAAGAGAGTATGAGCGGCGGGAACACACGCGTGCATCCCAAATTAGTTTTTGCTTTATCTCGGCGCTCGGCGCGGCACGTGACGCAGAAAACGGGGCGTGTAACGGCGGGGGGATGGGGAGGGCTTCGGATGACGGGGGGCAAGAGGAGAGGGGGGGAAGCTTCTGCTGCTGCTGCTGCTGTTGTCTGTTCTGCCCAGCTCTGCCGCGCTCCCTCGAGCCTCGAGGGTGCTGGAGGGCTGCTACCGGTACTGTGTATCCACTTGTGGAGAGCCGCGAGAGTGTGAGTGTGTGTGTGTGTGTTTGCACGACGCAGTGGTGTGGTGTGTGGGGCGGGGCGG